TCTGGATCTGAATCTTAGCTGAATCATAAGAGAGTTCCCAAAGAAATATGAAAAGTTCAGATCACACAACGACTGTCTGGTTTTTCATGTCACACAGGACATGGAAAAACCTCCACTTACAGATTCTGTTACCCCAAGACTCTCAGAGACAAGAAACTCAACATTTACTGTGTTCTGGTGAAAAACATCCTAATAGTCGTCCAACATCATAGACTTCCAGTCTCTGAATAGGAGTGAACTCATGATGAGCTTATATTAATCTCAAAGCGCAGGCCTGTCGGATCACAGAATGGAGGCAGTGGGATGTCGAGCCACTTAGTGCAGAGAGGTGGCCATCTTTCATCAGTCAGTGACCACAGACCACAGGCCTTAGCCAGAGAGAAAAGCAAAAACAACTTCATGGATTTGATTTTCACTGTGAGCAGCTGAATCTAAGCTTCATTTCTCCTGTTTTTTGTGCATCTTTGGGGCGATGGAGTGTTTTAGCAGGAGTGTTGGTAGTTCAAGCTCCAGTCTTTGTTTTGTATCCTTGGGTAAAATGCTTTGCCGACGGACCTGCTGGTGGTCAGAAGGGCCGATGCCGCCGATGCCTCTGTCAAGACTCCCTCAGGGCAGCACTGGCTGCTATCCAGTAGCTATCAGCATGGTAATGTGTACATGAATGGGAATGACTGATTTCATTGTAAATCGTCTTAGATTCCCATAAAGCAACTCTGCATGTCAGACTTAATTTCATCTTCAAACTCTCACATAGCTGAGTTTTCATTGACTGTTGTACAATTTGACATTTAAAACATAAATTTGCTTAATGGAAACAAACAGCGAAGAAGACGACGACAAGAAGTAGTTGGAGGATGATGGTGCCACATGATTTTTAAAGACTGGTCGCGTGAACAAATGTGCTGTGATTTTAATTGGGTTTCTTACTTAGTGGAAACAGCACAACTGCAAAATGTTGTTTTCGCAACATTAGTTTATGAAGGAAATTCAGCTAAAAGATAAACTCAGTTGTCATTAGCTGAATTGTTCACTGAACTCTGATGGCACTTGTAGGATTACTTTTAGAAAAGATTTTTATCATGGTCCTTTTTATTAGATAATCTTCTCTTCCTCGTTTTGGTTAAAAATTCACAAACTGAAGCCACAGAAAGAGGGGATTTTAAATATGCTGGATTGATATGAAGCTTTGGGGTATTTCATCAAAAATGATTTGAGACTTTAGGAAAGTTCAGTTTCCAGTTTGACAAAAACATAATCAGTGAGTGTCTGTTTCAACTGGCAGACATAAAGGTGTCTGAAAAGACTTTATGTTGCTAAAATTACTTTAAAAGTTATTTGGCGAGTTGCATCACTGACTAATGAAGCTTGTCCTTGTTTTGCCGTCCTTCCTCGTTTAAGCACAGCAGAGGATAAACACCCAACGCAGCAACCTGGAGCTGGCTGGTGGTAACCTCAGCAACAGCAGAGCATCCTCTGCTGCTTTCTCCCACTGCTGGCTGCACTAATTGTCCTGTGTCCTAATGTCCACACAGAGACGCCCTCTGGGCCCGGCGTTGTGCTCCAAATGGTGAAGCTGGGGATCTCAGCAGGGGCTCATTACCGACACGACACAGTTAGCATGATGTAACCGCACAGATGACCTCCCACAGTGACCTTGACAGCACCCTGCAGCTCAGAGTGGTTTCATCTGTTACCGCAATTTAATGACCCAGAAAAAGAAAGTAATGGATGCAATGCGAAAAGCTCGAAGAGAGCAGGCCTTTCACAAATAAACCTCACACTGCTACTCTGCACTTCAGCTGCCATTTTATTAAAATATTATTTTTACTTGTAGGTTATTTTTTGGACGTGTTTTTGAAAGGATCTTACTGTTGATGGCAACTTTTCATGACTGTACCAATGCAACAGGACTACAGATCCTATAATGCTTTGCGGCCCAGAATGCCTGGGCTGTACCTGTTCCAGGGCTTCCAGTAAAGCATGTTGTGGTCTACAGTATGTGGTCTACAGTATGTGGCATCCAGCGTCCTCGTTATGCAGTACTGGCCTCTACTGGCCTCTGGGTTGGGTGGGACCATGGTATGGGCTTGTCTCGTGGCAAAGCTCATTTCCTTTTTATCTATGCTGCGTTATATGTGGTATGACAGCAGGATTACTAAACTTCATGACTTCTTATTCATGCTGCCAGCACTTAGCTAGAAAAGAGCAGGACCTCTGGACGGGTCTTAGGGAAAGGTGTTCCTCTTTGCATCTTCACCGTTTTCTGGGTCCGTCAACTCTCTGCTGGTTACATCTGGATGATTCTGCTGCTTTAGCTCCATTGGAAACCTTTAGATTGATCTCTGTTCCAACTCGCCCCTCAATCCAGCGGCCTCCTGGTCATAATGCACACAGTTTCTGCATGTGGGCCTCATTTCTGCCTGTGAGTTGGTCCAAAGACCCCAGGACCTTCTACAGGCTCTGGGTGTGTCTGAATGAACTCTTAGCAACCCTCAAAGTAGCATCTGCTTCCCAACACATTCCTTCTGTTGTGTAGGTTTGGAAGGCATTTGGAGTTATCTGCTCAGATTGAGAATTCTCAAAAAACACCAACAAACTTGGATGTAGGCACAGAGTGTGAAAGTCCACTTTGACAGAGGAAGGGGAAAGGACGATGGGTACCATGACATGAAGGGATTGTGGGAACATCCAACCAGCTCTGATGGACTGGCTTCTGTTAGCCTGCTACTGTGTAGCTCTGGTACGCTAATAGGTGAATGACTGGATGAAGTGTAATATGCTTTGGAGTTCTCCGGACAAGATAAAGAGCTATAAAAGAGCATGCCATTTCTACTTTTCATTAGCATACAAAGTTCTCCAACGTCACTTCTTCAGACTGTCTACTAGAAAACGGCCGTCCACAATAAGCCTGGTTCTGCTTCTGCTGGAGATTTCCTGCTGTTAAAGAGGAGTTTCTCCTCTCCACTGTCACTACATGCTTGTCCATGAATGCCTTAAATAATAAACCGAACGGCTGCGTTATTTGAATTGTAGTTGGACTGGGTGTGTGACCAGATTGAATTGACTTTCCATTTTAAAATGTATCTTTACTCACGCAATGGTTGGTGCGACCAACAGATTGAAACATCCCTTTTATTTTTTTGTATCTGATAAGAGGCTGGCATCAATATTAACATCCTGATTTGATCTGGTCTGTATTTGTTTCGAACAAACACAATACTTTAATTTCACGTTTTGCATAAGGTGTTTGTTGTCAACAGCTACACAAGGACGTTTTTAATCCATTTTTTTATACTTTAGGATTCAGCGAAGCCTTTGCATGTCGGTTTGGTTGAGCAGCGCTTCGTCTCCGTGGGGAGTTGGTCCTCCAGTAGAGTCAGCGAGTATAAAGAGGCAGCATTCAGAGGTTTTTTCACAATAAGATATTTTCACTTCCTTGCAGCTGACCTGCAGCAGCTCCACCAGCTGAAATCCTGCAGGATTCAATCTGTGGTTTCAACTTCGATCTGTTGGGTTTTGATTATGCTGATGAGTTTTTCCAAACAGTCAAAGGATCTTATTGTAGTGAAATATTGTCCATCTGCTCCTCAAAGTATTGTGTGCGTTAAGTATTAATGTGTATTCCTTTGTACTTTAATTATAGTAAATGTTTTACGCTATTGACTTGTTTCTTCGATAAACCACATTGTTTAGTAAGTATTGATACTCAGCACTGCAAAAGGGTTTACAGATATAATATTTGTCTTTGAAACATGAGATTCTCATTTCCTCTCATGATTGTAGATCTTACATTATAATCTCTCTGCTTTGCTGTGTTTTCTGACCAGTTTCAGTATTTGACAGAAAACTAACAGGGCTGAAGGTAAAGATTCAGGCTTCTCAGTTTTAGTGACCGCAAGAAGTTTGAACAGACGGTAGACGGTCGTCAGATAAGCAACAAATGACCTTTTTCATGATTTAATAACTCAGCTGTGGTTCCTATCTGACTTTCTCTTTGCTTGGTGTTCAGGGATTATGGTTCCTGTTTTCTTTCTTGTGCTGCTTCTGTTTAATAAGATTTGCAGATCCATGAAGGTCCAACCACGGCATTGCTTTAAGATTGAAGTCTTCTTTTTTTAGCCATTCTGCTGTAGATCTGGTGCTGTGTTTGGTTCGTCGCTCTGATGATGGCCCAGTTTGGGACACGCTTCAGCTGTTGGACTGATACACAAACACTGGACTCTAGAAGACTTTGGTTCATAGCTTAAATCGAGGACAGCGGGGCATCCTGGACCTTTGGCTGCAAACAGTAGTCACAGGCGGAGAAGAATTCAGTCCTTTGAATAAATTAGTTGAAGCAGTGTCCAAGAATGGACATCAACCCTTAAGGCCATTGAAGATACTGCTCTGCATGTTTGAGTTAAATAAATGGTTCATTAACAGATTCTTGCAGAAGTTAGAGAGGGAAAAACCTTAAGAATGGGCTCCGTTCTGAATCTTCTGTCATTTATGGGTCGCAATCAGCAGTCAATCTGCTGATTGACTGTAAGTCCAAATTTTGTGTTTTTAACTTCAGCATGGTTCATGTTGCTATATGCTTTAACATGTGACAGATTTTCAACCTTGCATAGATTGTCTGGTATCTTCCAGTTTTGGACTATAAAGTTTTGGTTTTGCCTTTAACCCTCCTGGTCTTAGCGCGATGCTCAGGCAAATTGTGGCAGATGCCACGATCAGACAACAGGGAAGAGATTGGTGTGTCCTGTTAGCCTGTCGGCTCCCAATGGCGAACAAGCATACGCGGGGTCAGTGCGACTGCCAGGACCGCGCACAGAGTAAAAAAATTTACCCAGAGTCCACTGGACCCATTGATCTGAAGTTCAAAACTTAGCATGAAACTCAACTAAAAACAAAAGTATATGGATTTGTTCATAGTATTCATGAGACTGAAACACACTAATGTTTCTGTCTTTTTCAGGCAGACTGAATCAAGGTTGTAACAGGCAGGATTAAGTAAAAAGAAGATGCAGAACGTCTCCTCACAGCAACACTTTATCCTGAACGGTTTTGCAGAACTGGGTGTCCTGAGGCCGGTCCTCTTCGTCCCGTTCCTCCTCATGTTCATCGAGGCTCTGCTGGCCAACTCCCTGCTGATTTATGTCATCGTTTCTCAGAGGAGCCTTCATCAGCCGATGAGCATCCTCATTGCCAGCATGGCTTGTGTTGATCTCTGCCTCCCGGTATTCTTTGTTCCCAACATGTTGCTCAGCTTCCTGTTTGACTGGAAGGGGATCTCTCTGATTGGCTGCCTGGTGCAGATGCACTTCATTCACTTCTTTGGAGCATTTCAGTCCACCATCCTGGTATGGATGGCTCTGGATCGATACTTTGCCATTTGTACGCCACTCCACTACCATGAACTGATGGCGCTGCAGAGATTTCTGAAGTTTATCGTCCCGCTGGTTGTCAGAAACGTCCTCCTCATCTCTCTGTTTGTGAGTTTGGCAGGAAAGCTGTCGTTCTGCAGGAATGTGATGAACCACTGTTTCTGTGAGCACATGTCCTTGGTGGAGCTGGCCTGTGGATCCACCGCCATCAACAACCTGGCTGGACTGATTACTGTCTTCCTCATCCCCGTCTTTGACGTCTTACTTATCGCTGCGTCTTACATTCTGATAATCAGCACCATGTTGAGGTCCAGCAGCACCAGTGTCAAAGCATTGCACACCTGCATCACTCACGCAATCGTGATCACGGTTAGCTTAGCCGTGGCTCTCATTGCTTTACTTTCATATCGGATTAAGAATGAACTTCCTGCGGCTGTCCGGGTTTTCTTCAGCACCATGTACCTGTTGTTCCCGAGCTGCTTCAACCCGATCATCTACGGCATCAGAACCACTGAGATCAGGCAGCACATGCGAAAGACGCTGACGCACTGGAAACAATTTGTCCAAACTGAACCTTAAAGATGCCGTTGTTGAATTTACAGTAAAACACTTTGATGAGAGATTGAAGGCATAAATATTTCAAACACTAACATCACTGCAGATCATTATTCTCTGGTTCAAACTGAGGTTAGCGGTTAGCATTATGTGGTCATATATTAAACCAGATGGTTCAATTCAATTAAAAATAATGTATCGACCCCAAAGAGGAGCTAAATGTTGATGGCTGTGAGCAGAAAGGGCCTCCTGTAGCAGTCTGTATTTCAGCGGCTCTGAATAAGCCTCCAGGAGACACTCTGTTGTTGTATCACAGTCTGATGAAGAGGATAATCTGGGTTGTGCATAACTTTCTTTATTTTATTTTGTAACTTAGTCCAGTCCTACTTCAGCTCTATTGTGTATGTGATAAAACAATACATTATTCACTATTTTGTGTTCTATGCAGAAGAACACCTCATGTAGTATCGGCGCATTGTTCTCACTGTGTTCTTGGGGAAAATGTCTAATAAAACTCATGTTCCACTGAGATTCTGTTGAGTTTATATAGTTATGAGAAGAAACATAACAAAGGCCCTCAGTGTTTATCATTCACATTTCACCCAAAAATAATTAAAGAATCAATCTTGTTGGGTAAAATATTTCACCATCTGTGAACCTCAACCCTGCACCAATCCCAGGTACGGTTGAGCAAACCTACGATCTGCCCCAAGTGACTCAGGAAGGGAAATGTGCTCAAGCTTTTCGTTAAAATGTCGACGTAACCGAAGATATAAAAGGTTTGAGTCAGTGGGAGTCGGGTGTCACAGTCAGGTAAAGAAGATATGAGCAGACGTTCAGTAACAGGTGAAACTATCAAAGCTGATCTGCCAACAGATTATCATTTAAATTCAAATCCTTTCTGTTGTTCTAACTTTGCTCTCACTATTTATTCTCCTTCTCATCTTTCAGGGATTTGAGTCTAACACAGGAACATGTAGTGACCCTTTTCAGTGTTTTAACTTGTGTGTTTTGAGATCAAAACTTTTCTTTTTAAGGTTTGTCTCTCTTTTATGGTTGTTTCAACATGTATGTTTAAAATGTTGCTCATGTTTTCTTTTAAAATCAGAATCTGAAGTCACTGATGAAGTTCAGGGATCAGAGGGGAACCAGCACTTTTTTCTTTAAACTTATATTTCTGATGTGCAAAATTAGTATTTGTGGTATTTTTGAATTATAATAGAACTATGTTGGTAAGTTTAATTTGTTTGCAACTTGTTCTGCATTTTGCTGTTTTTCTTCTAAAGTTGGATGCCATATTAAAGCAGAGAAAAGTGTTTTCCTGCCATTTAAACTGAATGTTTTCAAAAGATAGAACAGTAAAAACTTCCAATGAGAAAATTGTTGTGATTACATTTCAAATCTTCAGGATGAGTCTTCGCTCTCCACTGTTTTTCTTCCGGTACAAAAAGAAGAAACGTGAGAAACTGTCAGTGTTGAAAGTTTGTGTAACAAATACTTATTTTTGCCAAGTGAGTTTATCTGAGTTTTTCTCGGTACTTGTTTAACAAGCAAAATAAAATACATGTTGTTCATACAGGTAAAAGCTTAAACTCAAAACTTATGCTAAAAAACTTAAGATAAAACTCAAACATTATTATGTAGAGAAAACCTTCTACAAAGCAAGTGATGTGTTTTTTCCATCAGTGATAAAATATCATAAAACATCTAAAAGATGGTCAAATTCATTTTTCATGAAACCAAAGTATTTTAAATACATGTTAATATCTTTTTTTCTAGGGGGTATGGAGAGTTTTATAATTGGTTTAGATGATTTAAATTGAGGTTTCCTTGTATTTGATGTGTTGTTTATGCTGAAGGGTTTTCTATTATTTATTATTTATTCAGGTGCGTTGGAGACGTCTTCAGCATCAGCAGTAGTTCAAATGCTGTCATTAATGACTGATTGGTTGGAAATGAATATTAATCTGTTGTTTCTTTGTTTTCAGGCTGATCCTGAAGCTCTGCACCAGGACAGTTTGGTAGAAGACGATGATGGAACCACTGAAGGAAAACATTTCCTTGCACAACTACTTCATCTTCAGTGGCTTCAGTGAGCTTGGAGCTCTGAAATCCTTCATTTCTATCCCCTTCCTGATTCTGTTCTTTGTGTCTTTGTTTGCCAACTCTCTGCTGATCTATGTGGTCATTTCACAGAGGAGCCTCCACTCTCCGATGTACATCCTCATCGCCGCCTTGTCATTTGTTGATATGTGCCTGCCACTGATTCTCATCCCCAACCTGTTGCTGAACGTCTTGTTCAACGTGAGCGGGATCTCTCTGACCGGCTGCCTGGTTCAGATGTTTATGATTCACATGTTAGGAGCTTGTCAGTCGGCTCTTCTGGTCTGGATGGCGTTGGACCGATACTTTGCCATCTGCAGGCCCCTTTCCTACCGTCATCACATGTCTTTACCCAGATTCCTCAGGTTTATCATCCCTGTTCTCATCAGGGATGTGATCATGGTGTCGGCGGTTGTGCTTCTGGCAGGTAAAGTGTTGTACTGCTTCAGGAATGTGATAAACCACTGTGTCTGTGAACACATGGCCTTGGTGGAGTTGGGCTGTGGCAGCACAGCCATCAACAGTCTGGTTGGGTTATTAGGAGTCTTTGTGATCACTGTTGTTGATTTCTTGTGCATCGCCGCTTCATATATAATCATATTCCACTCTGTGCTGCGTTCAGGTAAATTCAGTGCTAAAGCTCTGCACACCTGCATCACTCACATCATCATCATGATCATCAGTTTGTCCTTTGTGCTCACGGCTTTCTTGGCGTATCGGATGAACAGTCTCCCAAACGCTGGTCGTGTTTTTGTCAGCATCATGTACATGTTCCTTCCCAGCTGTATAAACCCGATCATCTATGGAGTCAGAACCACTGAGATTCGACAAAACATCCTCAAAGTTCTGTCTTCTAATCGCTAGGTAGGAACTGGAAACATTTTTTTAAATTAAAAAACAAATTTCAATTAAGTACTTTTTCAGTTATCCTGTTATGCTAGTACATCTCTAAACGAGAGGATCCGTTTTGGTGGCCTTAGGATCGCAACTCTGCTTTTTGCAGATGATCCGGTTCTATGGGCTTCACTGCAGCGGTTCGCAGCCAAGTGTGAAGCTGCCGGGATCAGTATCAGTGCCTCCAAACCCGAGGTCATGGTCTTGAACCGGAAAAGGTGCCTCCTCCGGGTCTGATATGGGAGACGATACAAGGAATTAATCCACGCTACAACCGAACATTTTGACTTAATCACTTCCAACTCCAGCCTAACTGAACTTGGACTGCAAAATTGCTGCGAGGAAAAAATATGGCAGATTCATAAAACTGATTAGCAGGAAGTCATTATCTTGTAGAGCAGTTCCACTGACGAGACAATAAAACATCACGTCAGCTAATGCTAATGCTAACCAGCAAGCTAGCAGATGCAGTGCAGATGAAGATGCAATTAAATTGATCAAATCGGTGTTGAAACAATTTTTCATCTTTATTGGCTCTAAATGAAAGCTCAATTAAAAAGTTAAGTTTTGTGTTATTTCCCATCCCAGCATTTACGTCTCAGGTTGTAAAAGTTCAGAGAGTTGCTCTAACGTTTCTCTAACCAATAGCAGAGCGTGACAGAAGATATAAAAGTGCTGAGTCAGAGGGATTTGGTTCTCACAGCTGGATGAAGGAAAGATGCCCAGTCAGCAGAGACGGTCGGTACCAAACAAGTGAAACATTCAGAGCCGGGATGTAACGTTAACTTCCTGTTCAACCATTTCTGCTGTTTTATCTGTTTTTATTCTCCTTTTCTCTCAGGCACTCGAGTCTAATACACAAAATGTTTTTTTCTGTTTTCAGCATTTTGTTGATGTGATTCTAACTTGAGGAAACTTGTGCTCTTCTGAAGGTTTGATTTGTAAATTCCTCTTTTTTTTTAGCTTAACTGATATTTAAAGAAAGTTGTTTCTTTTCTTTGGAGTTTTGAAATTTGTAAAGTTTGGAGTTCAGCAGGAAACCGGAACATTTTTAAAACAGTATAGAAGTTTTTTTACATTTTAATTACTTACTACCTGGTTATAAATAGAAGATTTTCGTGGCATAAACTCACATGTTTAATAAATCACGCTGAAATGTTGTTGTTCATGTAGGTCATGCAAATCCTGAAACTTGTAAGATATGGATATAAAATGCCAACAATATATTTAAAATCATTTAGATATCTATTTGTTAAAATAAAAATTACAAGTTTTGTTAGAGATTTTTAAAAATTCTGTGACGAAGCAAAATAAAAATTTTTTCCTCTTTTCCTGACCAAAAAAATCTTTGCTTTTTTTTCTACGATGTTAATTTCTCATGAGACTAAAGTATTTTAAATGTTTTTATTAATAGATGTATTTTGCAGATTTACAGCTCTGTTATTTATCTCTTTGCAGATTTCTTTAGTTTTTTGCTTTTCTCAGCCTCACCAGATTTTAGGTAATCCACTAGTTATTGCTAAATTAGTTCACTGATAATAAAATACTTTTCATCTATCATGTAAAACCTATCAGAGCTCATTAAAGGTTCTTGCTCAGAACATAAATAGTTCTCTGCTGTCAACTCATAGAATAAAATGTTTTATGGTAAAAAGTACTATATATGTGTGTGTGTGTGTGTGTGTGTGTGTGTGTGTGTGTGTGTGTGTGTGTGTGTGTGTGTGTGTGTGTGTGTGTGTGTGTGTGTGCAGAAAAGTTTGTGAAACTAAAATATAAAAATATTAATTTATTTTGAAGTGTAATCATGTTCCTGGTGAGAATGAAATGCTTTTGGAGAGAAAGTTACAAAAAGTTTTCGGTTCATCCTCCAAGCTGCGTAAGCCTTCACTACAGAGGAAGGTCTGGATTACCTAAGCCAGCATAACTACAAGCTTTATTAGAAAATGAAAAAAGTTTTAATCTTAGAAGTAGATGGGGTGTCCATCTCACTGAACAGGCGCCTGAAGAGTAAAAGGTCAGCCTCCCGTTTTACGTTTAGGGCCTCGAGGAACCAGCAGTTTTATGGAATATAAAAGCTTCTGTTTAAAACACCTGGATCAATCAGATCTCTCATGTATTGTACAGATTGATTAACAAGAGCTTTATCAGCGAGAAGAACAACTCCTAATTCCCTTTCAAATGTTAATCAGAAGTCCTGGTGCTGTGTTTAGACTTTCAATAGGGTTTTAGGATTTCCTGAGAGTAAAGAGCCTTGAAACAGTCGACGCATGGCCATCATCTCTTGGCCAGACTGGTCAGTCAGGTTCCTATCAGACTCAGGACTTTGGATACACCAGTTCAACTTATGCACACTTCCAATAATTTGGTGTCTTTGCAGGGGTGAATAAAAAGGGAAAGGAAAGGAAAGGAAACTGATGTCAGGTTTGCAGAATCTAAAGCAAAACTAAACTAAAGGAACGAGTGGAGGCTGTGAAGAAGGACCTTTGGATGCCTAACTTCTCATGACCATGGAAATGAAAAGCAGTTTCCATAGAAGCTGTTTAGTTAAATGGATGATAGGTTGACTGATGAATGGGTATTGAGAAATACCCGTTGTTTCTTTGTTTTCAGGCTGATCCTGAAGCTCTGCACCAGGACAGTTTGGTAGAAGACGATGATGGAACCACTGAAGGAAAACATTTCCTTGCACAACTACTTCATCTTCAGTGGCTTCAGTGAGCTTGGAGCTCTGAAATCCTTCATTTATATCCCCTTCCTGATTCTGTTCTTTGTGTCTCTGTTTGCCAACTCTCTGCTGATCTATGTGGTCATTTCACAGAGGAGCCTCCACTCTCCGATGTACATCCTCATCGCCGCCTTGTCATTTGTTGATATGTGCCTGCCACTGATTCTCATCCCCAACCTGTTGCTGAACGTCTTGTTCAACGTGAGCGGGATCTCTCTGACCGGCTGCCTGGTTCAGATGTTTATGATTCACATGTTAGGAGCTTGTCAGTCGGCTCTTCTGGTCTGGATGGCGTTGGACCGATACTTTGCCATCTGCAGGCCCCTTTCCTACCGTCATCACATGTCTTTACCCAGATTCCTCAGGTTTATCATCCCTGTTCTCATCAGGGATGTGATCATGGTGTCGGCGGTTGTGCTTCTGGCAGGTAAAGTGTTGTACTGCTTCAGGAATGTGATAAACCACTGTGTCTGTGAACACATGGCCTTGGTGGAGTTGGGCTGTGGCAGCACAGCCATCAACAGTCTGGTTGGGTTATTAGGAGTCTTTGTGGTCACTGTTGTTGATTTCTTGTGCATCGCCGCTTCATATATAATCATATTCCACTCTGTGCTGCGTTCAGGTAAATTCAGTGCTAAAGCTCTGCACACCTGCATCACTCACATCATCGTCATCGTCATCGGTTTGGCCTTTACGCTCACGGCTTTCTTGGCGTATCGGATGAACAGTCTCCCAAACGCTGGTCGTGTTTTTGTCAGCATCATGTACATGTTCCTTCCCAGCTGTATAAACCCGATCATCTATGGAGTCAGAACCACTGAGATTCGACAAAACATCCTCAAAGTTCTGTCTTCTTACCGGTAAATAGTAACTGTGAAATACTGCTCTAAAATAAGACCGCAATCGTTCTGCTGCTGTTTTTTTGGGGGGATCGTTGATCCATTTGGACCAAACTTCAGCCGTTGAACAGAATCACTCACATTTAACTGGACAAGAGAGGAGGTTACGGGTCACTCAATAGCTACAAGAAGATCCTTACATGACAAAAAAGCTCAAATCACTTGTTTTTCACCACACTTGATAAAGATATAGGTAACAAAAAAATAACAAAATCAAATAAAAGAAAATATTTTTCCAAATCAGTTTCTTTTAATAAAATAAAACTTTACCTGAAACTGCAGGTGTGTGTCTGTGTCTGGTGAATTTTTGGTTAAAACATGTTTGTTTTTCATTGAGTGGGTAGAAAATCCAGAAATCAAACTTGATTTGATTCAAACTTCATAGTAAAATAACTCATAAAAGTAAAAAGTACAATTTAGTAAAATACTCTGAAAAGTTTGTGTTTTTTCAGCAAGTTATTCAAGTAAATCCAATTAAGTAAATGTAACTAGTACACAACTATGCACAAAACCTCCTTTCCACTGAAGAAAATGTAGAAAAGCTAACAGTAAAAAGCAGATTGGAGAACGAAATTAATGCATTTCACATATTTAGTGTCTTTCAGGGATAAAGCAATCCATTAGCTTCATGAACTTAAAGCTAATGTTATTAGCGTTGTGAGCCTAAAGCTAATGTTATTAGCTTCATGAACCTAAAGCTAATGTTATGCTAGTCCTCATGATGGCGGTTCCCACCAGGTGACTCACCCCACCGGGGATTCACGGTCCGGTCCAGCTGTCCACTGTGGCTCGCGCTCCGGTGCGGATCCAAAATCCAGGAAAACATCCAGAAAACGGATGTTTTCTGGATGTTCCAGATGATTAGTTTTAAAAAGTCCACAGCATAGAATCCAGCTTCTTCCGGCGTGAACAACAGTTCGTTAATAACTTTTAACAGCTCCGTTAATGTTCCCACCATTAACATAAATATTAAAAATAAAATAAAATAGAGCGCTTTATGGCGTTCGGTTCTCTCGCTCGTACTTTGTGCTAGCTTACTGGCGGATCGCTCACATCCAAAATGGCGGGCGTTGTGACGTATCGCAGTTTTCACCCCCGCCCTTCCCCTCAGCCATCATAGCCAATCAAATTGCTTAAACTTGATATTAACCTCGACTGACCAATAAGGTAGAAGCAGCCAAAAGGATTTACTGGCTGTAGTTACTCGCAGTTACTAGCCAACAGAAAGCACTATTTGTACTACACGTTTAAATATTAGCAAAAGTACACGTTAATATTTGAATGTGTATGACATAAATAATAAAATGTTTAAGTGTGAAAGACCAAAAGTGAAATATTGTTGTTTGAGGTGAATAGATGCCATGAATTACATTTAAGGAAAGAAACTGCATGACCAGCAGGACTCTTTAGTGTTGGACACATCAGTATGCTCTCAGGAAAAAACAGACAAGTTAACAACCAAAGCTCTTTATTTCTTCATTTTATAGAGGTTAGAATGTGAGAGAGAGAAAAAAACTAAATAAAATGTTTACATTGAAAACTTTTTATGGATTTTTGTACCAAAGATTGATTGATTTTACCAGAAGAAATTAAGTTGACAACACAGGAAATAATTTATTTTCAAGCTGTATGGATGGTCTAAGGAAACAGAAGAAACATTGCAGATTTATTGGTGTTCTGTTAATTATTTTTAAGTTATTTTAAGTTATTAGCGTTTTAAGTTTAATCTTTGCAGCCAATGGTAACTTGACAGAGGCTATAAAGGTGGAGATTCAGTGGCTTTCCTTTGACTGAAGTCGTCTTCGGTCTGCAGACATTCAGCAACAAACTCCAGCCAGTTGAAGCTCCCTGGAGTCCTTGGGAAACTCCCAGTTCAACCATCACATCTTTGATTTGCTCTGTTTATTATTCTCATAATCCAGGACGGTTGGTGTCGACAGCAATGCAGCTGATCCGAAGGTCTCTGAACGCTATAATTTATCCCTTCAAGATTTTTATTGACGTGAAGCTAAAATATAAAACAACAATCAGGACATTTGAATAACAACAATAATCTAATTTCATTGTTGTTTCTCCACAAACATCTTCTGCATGTTGTCTCATCATCAGCTAACCTCCCAGCGTCTGTAAAGGACCAGAGCATGAAGCAGAGCCGAGTGACGAACCGACGCAGCAAACCGCTTTTCATCCTGAGGGAGAGATCAGGTCAGAGGTCAGGTCAGAGGACCTCAGGGACCAGCAGGAGAGACTAATGAAGCACAGCAGAGGAACATGAAGGCTCCCAACTCAATTCACCAGGACAGAGGCTGCAAACAGAGGCAAAAATCTGACTTTTCCTGGTTCAACATCAGGAAAGAAAACATACGGAAACCCTGAGATGATCATTTTGATCAGTAATTTATTGATAAATGTGTTTTTCATCACTGAAAAACACATTTTATGAGTTTAACTTCTAATTTATGCCAATACAGTAGGGAGAATAAACTCTGGAGAATCTGATTAAAAACCTCCTGCAGCCAATCACAGCGCTGCTGCCTTCAGGGTCAGCCGTCCTGTGGGACGTCTGGACGTCGGCTATAAGACGGGCGGAGGGGACACTCGTCGTGTCCTGATGAGGACCCAGCAGCAGGTAGGAAATTTCACTGTTTCAGTTTCTCTCTAAATGTTAAAACTGGAGTTTATTCATTTCGGCAGATCAGAGATTAGATCTGGTTTCACCACCGATCTGTTTAATAGTTAATAATAATTAGCATCTAGTTACAAATTGAGGCTTTTTTTTCATTTTCATAGATTAAAATACAAAAATTTAATTGAATTGAACAAATGTTTATTAGATTTTTCAGACTGGAAACGCTTTATGTTTATATTTATTATCTAAATACAGACAGTAAATGCAGTTCTTACTCCTGGGACGCGTTTCAGAGTGAAATTAAATTAAATAATGCAGAAGTGAAAAAACAGAAATTGCTTTCGCTTCATGCAAACAACAGGAAATAAAAACCTTTTTATTTTTCTGTTTCACACCAAGTTCTTGTATTTAAGCAGTTTTAGGATAAATGTTTTGTTTCTGTAATACTTTGAAGAATTTATTGATGATAAACTCTGTTCCACTGAGTTTAATATCTAAATATTCAGAATTTATTTAGAGCCATAAAATTCATATTCAGTAAGGGAAAAATAAAATTTGAACTGTTTTATTATATGTCCGTCCTGTGGCTGCTGTGTTTTTTGATTGGATAGATGCGTCATTACTTCACAGACTAAAAACTAAATATTTGTTTTTTATCATTTAAAAACATGTTTAGAGTTGCTTCTGATTTGAAATAGTTTGTTTCACCTGATGCTGTTATTCCGAACTGATAAAAATTATTTCGGTCCTTAAAACACAAATTTTCCAATTAACTTTGTATTTTGGTTCGTCTGATTTTATGATTTTTAAATATTAAATGGTTGATCAGGTATTTCTGTAAACTTTTCACCAAATACTTTTTCACTCTTCCTTGAGTAAAAACATGTTGAAGTAGCTCTGCTCTAACTTGACTACAAGCTTTAGGTTCTCAACACAAAACGGCAAATAAAAATTAATTCTGTTTGTTAAAATGTTTTAAAAATCACAGCAAAAACAATTGTTTAATAAAAGTGATTATCTGAATCTTTACTGGTTAATTTTCCCTTCTGAACAGTCAGACTGGAGAAAACCTGACCGTATGATGAACTCTGACCTGAACCTTCAGAGCCACGTAAAGACAGTTACAAAGTCGGTCTTCTGTCAGCTTCCACTGAGAGGAAAGACTTTAAAATGCTGTTGGTAGTTTAAAGATCTGCTGCTGATCAACTCTGGAACAAAGTTCTAGAAAACTGCGAACCAGCTGAAACACAGAGTTCCTTTAGCTCCAGACTAAAAGCCGCATGTTTAGAGTTGATCTGTTGTGTCAGGATGGCAACATGTTGCCGTTGTTTCCAGGTGAGGCCGCGCCATGTTGGACGATCCACTCACCAGGAACTCGTCCCACTCCAGCTTCCGGTTCCGATGTTTTCCGGAGCTGCAGACCCGCCGCTGGATCCTGGCGCTGCTGTTCTTCCTCTGCTTCCTGTCGGTGCTGCTGGGAAACTCTGCGCTGGTCTACGTGACCCGCAGGGTGGCGCGCCTGCGCAGCCCCATGTACGTGCTGGTGTGCCTGCTGTGCGCGGTGGACGTCCTGCAGGCCTCCGCCATCCTCCCCAACATGCTGCTCAACCTGCTGTTGGACTGGAGCCGCATCTCGCTGACCGGATGCCTCATCCAGATGTTTTCCACGTACTTCCTGTCGTCGCTGGAGTCCACGCTGCTGCTGGTGATGGCGCTGGACCGCTACGTCGCCATCTGCAAGCCGCTACGCTACGCGGACATCATGAGCTCCTCCGCCTTCCTGAAGCTGCTGGTCTTCGCGCTCCTGCGCAGCGTCTCCATCATGTCGGTGCTGGTGGTTCTGGCCGGGTCTCTGTGGTTCTGCGGCTCCGACGCCATCCAGCACTGCTACTGCGACCACATGGCGCTGGTCCGCCTGGCCTGCGGCAGGACGCAGCGGAACCGGGCGGCCGGGCTGGCGGTGATCGTCTGCTTCGTGGGCGTGGACATCCCCGTCATCTGCTTCTCCTACCTGAAGATCGTGAAGGTCGCGGTGAGGGCGGCGGCCGGCGAGGAGCGGCTGAAGGCGCTGCACACCTGCAGCACGCACCTGATGGTCATCGTGTGTTTCTACCTGGTGGGGACCATCACCTTCCTGTCCGGCACCCTCAACATTCCCATACCAACGGGCATCAACACCCTGATGGGCGTGGCCTACATCCTGATCCCCGCCACCGTCAATCCCATCATCTACGGCGTCCGAACCAAAGAGATCCGCCGAGGCCTGCAGAGCATGTTCAGGCCTCCGAAGCTTTATTCTGGAAAAACTCTGACAACTTCCGGTTAGCAGCCCACAAGAATGACTCTTCAAAACTAAAACAGTATGAAGTTTTAATGATCAACATCATGACTGTAACCGAATCTGAAGACAATTAGGAGCTCCGGTTCCCACGGCCGCACCTGATTGGACCAGCAGGTCATTGTGGGCGGAGCCAGTGGGAACAGGAAGTGTTTTCAACATCAACTATTGGGAACAAATCAAAACCATTTTATTGCTAAGCATAATAGACATTAGCTGGGCTAACGCTAAAGCGCATTAGCTTCTGGTATTTAGCAGAAGCTAATGCTAAAGTGCTAAATTCCACCATGTTGATATCCAATATGGCAGAAGAGGAAGTGGAACTGGTGTGTAAACAGTTCTCATCCACTTCAAAATAAGAGCATGAACATAAAGTTAACTAGTTAAAGAATCCATAACTAAACTTAGTTGAATGTTTAACTTTATTCAACTGAAAGTTTACAAAACAGCAAACAGGACATTTTAAAATGTATCTGGAAAATTAATGAAGTGGAAGCTAAGTGCGCTAAGTGCTAAAGTTAGCCAAAATGCTGAGCTAATGATTAGCCCACTGCTAACATTAATGCCCATCATTTCTCTGTTATAGAATCTGACTGGATTATTCCTCAGGCATCAAGCTTCCAGTGTCTCATTCTGTAATAAATAATGATCAGATATTTATGAGCAGCCTGATGATACTTTACTATTCAAAAACAAAATCAACTTTGTAAGTGAAATAATGTGAAACTGGAAAAAGCTGTTAAAATAATACAAACACAGTTTTGATCCCAAATGTCAGGCTGTGTATGAATATCATGACTGACAGTAAAAACATTGACAGAACTTTCAATACTGTTTTTATTAAAGACTGTGGGGAATATACAAGTTTTCTCTGACAATATCAAAATAAAAGACAACTGGAACTAAAGTATAAACAGACATGATGTGTTTCTTCCTCAGACTCAAACATCTGTCAGACTTCAGGAAAATACAAGTTCAGAATCTCACTTCATATTAGAATCTGCAAATAATAAACAGAAACCGTCATTAACGGCCACAGGTTGACGAACAGAAACCTGAACATTTAACAGAGCTGAGCAGTTCACTGATCATCATCAGGAGTTTAGAGGAGCAACACAGTTAATTACAGATTAAAGTCATTATTTTAGTATCTATTAATATGTGGAAAATACTGTCAAAACTTGAGCAGTTTAAGGGGTTTCATCTTCTGCTGTTCAGGTTACCACCACCAGGTGGCGGTAACTCAGCAAGTTGGAACAACAGAATTTAAACATGTGCAGTGTTGTGAAAACGTTCATCACTCCTACACATCTGAATAAGTATTTTATCAGATTAAACTCATTTACTCATCAGACAGAGAAAACGTCAGTAAATCCAGATAGTTTCGTTTCACTGAGATGATTTAAAAACCAGATCAGTTCACCGTTTACTGGCTCTACGCTTCTGTTAATCAGTAATCTTCTAAAACACAGTCTGGATTTTTTTTTAAATCACCGTGGAAGTATAGGAATTGTTTTAGAACCTGATTTCAGCTTGAACTTTGACTAGGCCACTCCAGAGCTTCGGTTTCTGTTTTGCATTTCGACCTGCTGATCAATATCCTGTTACAAAACCGGATCAGTTCAAGAGAGAACTGATGGTCAGACATCTTCCTTCTGGATTTTCTTTCAGAAATCCATCAGTTACAGCCAATCAGAGGAAGGAGAGCCGCCGCCGACCAGCTCTGACACCAGATTCACTGAAACGCTGCGTTGGTTCAACTCCAGATCAGCACTTCCCCTGGTCATCAGGGTGTTAATGTGAGGAAGACCTTCATGTTATTCTGGATCAGCTCTGGTTCTAGAGTTGGAACTCTCCCATATTCTCTCTTTGTCATCAAGCATGACCTCTGACCTTAAATGAGGCAGGGAGGTCTGCCTCAGTCTGGTAAAACTTGGTCTGATTGGAAACATTTGCTACATGTCAGCTGGTCGAGTTCGTGGTTTGTGGTTGAGCAGCATCAGGTCACCAAGATGCTCCACCTCAAGCTGCTGCCTCGAACGCACAAGCATCAGAACTTTACCAGAACCGGTCTGATGGTGTTTGTTGCTCTGCACCACATAGACGCTCGGCTTTATGTAAATCTCCATGGTGTCAAGACGCATTGAGGAAAGAAGACCAATGAAACGCTCATACCAGCTGGTCTGCAGGATGAAGGCAGAAACACCAGGCTGAGGTTCTGGCCTCCGATTCACCCAATCACAATCCAGTCAGGAATCTGTAGACAACCTAATGAAAGTAGGGATCATAATGTTTTGGCTGGTTGGTCTGCGTACCAGTTGTTGGCTCCATACATAGGAAATGTCATTAATTAAGGCCACTTTTCACTGATCTTGTAGGACTGGAAGTCAGAACCGTGCAGAACTCTGTGGACTAATAATGATGATCTCTGGTGTCGTCCAGGAGCAACATGCATGTTCCAGCTTTACTTTGACTATACCACTGCTTTGGTTTTCTACTTCTGGTGATGGGAGGCACAGCTTTCATGAGCTGGAAGATTATTTTATAACCCCAATGATGATGATTTGGGAAATGATCAACGTGTCGGAACAAACCAAGGACAGCTTCATTATTCATGACCTCAATAAACTATAAAATACTGATATATTTCATGCACTGGATCCTTGTTGGGTCTGTGCCTCTTCATCACCTGCAGACGTGAGCTGAAGTCCCTGATGTTGATCTGGGGGGAACTGTTGCAAGTCATCCGAATTTGGCAGTGTTTTTTGTTTTAAAGACCCTTCAACATAAAACACCGAAGCTAATCTCAACACAACTGAACTCCTGATCGGTCTCTAACGGAAATACGAAGAACAAAGAGAGGCATGCTTCCAGCGATCGCCGGCTCTGAGTTCCTGCCGAGGCTCGGCCCGACGACACAAGGCTGCGGTATTCTACACCCTGCGGGACGCAGAGAGACGACGGACATGAACAAACACACAAACACGCCACCACCGAGTGTTTGGAGGGTGTCCAGACTGTGGCTCGGCCTACAGGTAACCTCTGCCGGCTCCACACTACAAACAGCAGCAAAACAACAACAGTGACGGCGGGACGCCCGTCGCCTCTATCTGTCGTCGGGTTTGGGTGAGTCCAACGGTTCCTCGTCTTCCTCCTTCTCGTCTTTAGCGCCACTGAGCCGCTGGCGGGCGAAGTCCTCAAATATGATGTCATCATCACTGAGGGTCGGAGAATGGGACTGAGGTTAGTTCAGAGCTTCGGTGCAACATCATTAATCTGCTGCCGACACAAACGAACCGTAGCCCAAAATTATTCATACCCCTGGAAAATCTAGATTTAAAGTTATTGCTTAACTTGAGAAATATTTCCTCTTACTGCAACAGAAACTATGTGGGTCAAGAGATAAAAAAACTGGCTAGTCCCACTTTCATTCAAATGCTCATTTATCCCTGTTAAAATTTTGGGATTTTGTGTGTTTCTGGATGTTTAAATCCTTTTCTAAAAAGAAAAAAACTGATTATTCAGGCACCAACATCACAACCTTCATCTTAAACTGTGGCTCAGAGGAAGGTTGTAGGTTGGATTCCAGATTCCAACCTGACCCAAAGCTGCCAATGAATGGGTGAAAACTGTCTGCCTTTTTCAACCTGATGACTTTTGACCTTGTCCAGACAACAGTACATGTTTGATGAGCTGAGAAGTGGCAGAAGTGAAGTGGAATCGATATCTGGTGACCAGCCTGATGACAGGATGAATTTTAATTCGACAGACATAGAGATGCTCCTGCTGACTCCCTGTTAGGTCATAGAGAGACGCACACACACTTTACATGTTTACAGCAAAGACTCTGATAAAACCTGCAGCTTGAGATGAGCTGCCCCATGAGCCTGGATGTATTTTCACAGAAATGAAGCCAACAAATCAGTTTGGTAGTTTTCAACATTTAACTGAGGATAAATTCATGCACAGACTTAATGAGACTCATTAGATTGAGTCACGGCTTGTTCAATTAAAAAGCTTCCAAAGAAAACATCAGAAAGTGCATTAAACTGAAAATAAAACCAGTAATGAATCCCTCTGTGCAAGGCAAACCTCCTAATAGGGTCTTAAAGCAATCTCGCTATTATCGTAATAATCAGTAAGATCCAGAGTGGCTGCTGACAGCGAGAAGAGTTTCCAGTTTAAAGCCCATTTCCTGCAGCTCCCACAGCAGCATGCATTAGGATGCATTAAGGCTGAGACTCAGGAGATGGCTTCAGAGCTGCTAATGCGCTAACGGCCGAGAGGAAACCCTCTCTGCTGCCAGCACCGTCCAATCAGAGAGCGGGCTGACGAGCAGGAAACACTGGAGGGATGCTTACTGTGTGTCAAACTCAATCAGGTTAGTGTCGATTGGAGCTTCATCTGGAGCTGCGGAGAATCAGAAAGAGGCAATCAGAGCTCTGTCATCACAAACTGAGATGATTCACTGCTCTTCTCCATCAAGGCCTTCTGTTTTTTCTAAGACAAAGTTGGCGTTGTTGGTAGGATTTCTGTCAACAGCGTAAACAGAAATGAGACACACCGAATTCCTTATGGAATCCAATCCAACAGAAAAATGTCTATAGTTCACATTGTGTTGAGATCATTATATTGACGTTCTACAAATAATCTACAGAACATTTAACTCTAAATGCATATTTCAGTGCAGTAATAGCCCATCACTGCATTCCCAATGCTATTGCTAACATTAGCAGATGATCATACATGAGAACACACTAGGATCATTATGAATATTAACTCCTAACCATCGAAACTGTTCATGTATTCATTTAAAGGGCATCAACAACCAAGAAATAAGATATGTCAGATGGGAACTAACTTTTGCTTTTCAGCCTTTAAAGTGGACAGATGTGGTTTTTATTGAAGGAAATTCCTCCTGTTTGATTTCTTGGGGGCTTGTCCGGGATCTAACCAACAATGTAATCCAAGCCATGATGGAGACTTTTAGC